AGGGTATGAAAGATAGGTGTGAATTGGTACTAATTAAATTTTCACCCACAGTGTGTACATATGAGTGATAACCAATTTAGTTTCTTTGATGTTCAGATGAACGATATATCTAGTATGATAGTTTTCAGTAAAAATAAGCTTTTATTCAATGGAAATGTTTTGAGGATCATAGATAGTGCGACTCTTGCGTATATAAAATATGTAGTAGAAAAATGTAGTTAAGATATTTTTTACATCACATCGGCATCTATGTGGCTTCCGGTCTCACTTTGTTGTTACTTGCTTGAACTTTTTTTCCCCAACAATGATGACAAATATTTGCCGGCTTATTTGAGAAAATAATTAGTAGTGCAGCCCTGCTGGAAATCGGATTATGATTTTACGGTCACATATTTGGAATTAGTTTTTGCTTTGCTATTGCGAAAACCCCAAGGTTGGAGTTCCTACTACTTTAATGTCGTTTATGAGATTTCAGCTTCGATTCTTCATAAAAGCAGGCTTATTTCTTAATTTAAACCATTCATTTAATTAATTAATTAATTATTTAATTTTAAATACCTACATTTTGACTCATAGACTTCTTTCTCAAAATCTTGGCTTCTGGAGAAAGTATCGAGTCGTCAATTTAAAAATGATTGATTGAATTCGTACTCATTCCACCAGCGTACGTAAAAAATGAAGGCTCATTCCGCAAATTTTAAGAAAACAAAATTATGCCCGATTTCCACTAGGAAAAAAATGTTTGTGACAAATGTGGGCATTAAAAGTCTGTGTCATTACGTCAAAAATAAGAGTCTATTTCCACACGCCATTAGTTTAATGATACAAAATTGTTCGTAATTTTTGTAATTTCAATGCCTAGTGCGAATTCGGCATTAGTTTTGGCATTTTGTGATGGCACTTTTAAAAGATATAGCAAATGTATATATCTTTTAAACCGGTTGTTCGGCAGGCAAAACATCCGACGTTCAATTGCTCCCTTGTTTGTTAACCAGATAAAAATTTGTTTGCCATTTTAGCGATGTAATTAATCTGTTTGCATTTATTTTATTTATGAAAACCTATACATGTACATGACTGCACATTTCTACTATACACTTTAGTACATAGTACATTCATATGTTTTTTTTTTTGTATGTATTTTTGCATTGATAATCGTAAAATTGCAAATTGAAAAAGTAAATTAATTTGCTGTTCAGTATGTATGCGCGTGCTATAAAAGGATTTGGTAATAAATTTTTTTATTTTTTATTTCGAATGTGTATGTATATTTGTATATCGAAGTATGTACACATGTGTAATCTTACAGGTAGGTCAGCCGAGCTCATCTAACCCATAATAGATATTGCAATATTTTATATAATTTTTTTCCACATAATTACTTAATTGGTATACCTACTCCATTTTATACCACATTTTAAGATGAGATCATTCACTTGCCAATTGTAACGCTAAATTAGAAGAGGGTTAAGATTTGGTTGTTACTCAATTTTTCATGTCTATACTTTTATGCAATATTTATGGCCAGTCTTAATGTATTAGAAACTTAAATAGGTGAGACTAGAGAAGAGTCACTGGTAGCGACTGTTTTTCAATAGCGCTTGTGACATTAAGCAGAGATCACTTTGAGATGATTTGTTGACCTAGTCCCGTAATATATGTAGGTACATTTGTACATATGTAAGTAGTTAAGCGATGAATGAAATGTGTTCCTCAAAGTAATTTAAATATAGTATCCTATGACCAGATATAACAAACTCAAAACATTCCTTGAAAAGGAATACCGAAGGAAGGCTGTTGTCAACAAATCCTAGGTACTTCAAACTTTTTAGAAAAATTAGAAGATTTTACAACAAGAAACTTTTTATTATATAAGAATTTCTATAAAAATTCCAAGTATGCTATGAAGCCGATTAAATTCTAGCTTAATAAGTGAAAGTTTCAAGTGGTAATAACATCATCTGCAAAAAAAAAACTATCAAAAATCAACGCGAATTCCTAGCCACTTGAAACTCATTCTTGGCCCATTCTTGGGCTAGAATGTAATGGACTATATTTGTTGTTGTTGTAAAATGTTGTTGAATTTTTCTATCTTGTTTAAGATTTGGGCTTATATGATTTTTGTTAGATAATAAGCTGTATTTTTTATAAAAAAAAAATATTATAATAGACGTTAAACAAACAGAAAAAATAGCCAAAAATGGTCAAAATTTCGTTTCCGTATTATTTTTCACATGACTGTATGTAAACGTGAAAAGTGCCGCAGCTACGACTTAAGGTGTCTCACAGGCTAAGAAAAACTTGCAAAGGTGCGCTACCATACTGGACAGAGTTAAGAAATTAGTTTCTAATGCAACTTCGAAATCCATTGTTTCAACAGAAGAGAATATTTAAACGAAAAAATCGACAACCAACAATTTTTTAATGTAAACAAAAATGTAGTTAATATTACCAAATCATTGTTGAAAATATCAACCAAGGTATTGTTAATATTAACCAAATATCACTTTGATTCCTTGTCAAGTTTGAATTTGTTAATATTAACCAATATTTGGGTGATTTTTTTCTCAGTGTAATCAATCTTTACAGTGGTGTGAGAAAGCGGACGAGTGTACTGGGATAGGATTTAAAAGAAACGGTTCAGATCATAAAACCACCCACAGTCATGGATATCAAGAGTATCTCTCGAAGTCTGACGCCATCTCAACCGCGTTTCACCTATGCGGAAGCCCTCAGCCTTTCAGCTTTGCTTATCTTAAAACTAAAATTTAGAATTTTTTGGTATGCAAATCAAAATGAATGGACCAAACCTTGAGTTTGAGCAGCAGGTCCTACTAAAATCCTCCAGCGGAAAGGACTAAAATATTGTAAATGCTAATCTATTAAAATTCTACTATTATACGTATACGCGATTCCTTTTAATTTTTTTAATAATAATCAGTTGCCTTCTCTTTTCATTATTTCAGATCACCATGTGCACTTTGACACCACCAACCTGAAGGACGATTTCGAATCGGACAGCTGTGTCACCTACCAACGTTCCGGCGACACAATTGTCATCAGTTTGGGTTTCCTGCAAGTCAATCACCGATATCTGATCGACCTTAAGCTGCCCGTGGCATTATTCGACAATCTCGGCACAACATCTGGCAGTCAATTTGAGCCCGCAGTTACCACAGTTCCTAACTTACATTGCCGCATTACAGAATTTTCCGGCTTAAAGCATGACGAACATGATTTCTATGAAATGAAAATCGAATTTTTCGCCTACAAAGAGAAACTGCTACGCGAAGTGATACACATTGTTAATTCGAACAATTCGCAGGAGGTGCTTAAGTTGATGATAGCAGCACGTGTGCTGGGCAAAGGCAAGGGTACACCGATGCTGCGCAGCGGTATACATTGCATAGGCATTGAAAAGGATGACGACGAGTCGGAGGCGTCAGATTTTCCCGGCTTTGGCAAGGGCACCTAAGGGGAAGCAACAGAGTGCCAAAACATAAATTAAAATAAACCAAAAAAAAAACAACACAATTAAAACTGTATTATATAAGAAATTCTAAAATAAATATGTAAATTTATGACATTCTCCACTCACGATTTAATGAATATTACTACAGCACTTGACTGCAGTAAAGATGAAGATTCTGTATGTGTGAATATAGTATGTAACAAAGAACGTGCATAATGAAGCTGTACTTAAGCGTTAGATTTGTATGTATGTATATAGTAAAGTACAGCATGTTTTATCTATCATCGGCGACATTTTACTAAAGATACATAAACAAGTATAAATATGTAATGCTATTTGTATAGATGTTATTAAAAAGGAAATGCGCCGACAGACAGCCTTGTAATGCGACTTTTACTTTATTGAATGCAATACGATGTATGTATGTATCTATGTAATTATGTATGTACACTTATACAAACTGACTTACTTTAAGAGGAGGCAAACGTAACGTGCAAATTGGAAATAATTACTAGGTGCAATCCCGTATTCCTCGGACTCGGACTAGTAAAACTGTCAAAAAATAAAAATTCGCTCAGAGCGAGAGAGTAACATTGATCGCTTTCTAGTAAAAAATAGTAACTTCTGTCAACTTCAACATAACCTCCAAATTTTGTTTGTAAATTTTTGCTTATTTTGTATGTAAACACACTCAGCTCACACATTTAAATAACCAAAAATACTTTCAAATTCATTAGAATCCACTTAAACAAGTAATTAAATACTTTTCAACATGAATTAGCAGAGTGAACTTTTCTTTTGTTTACAATTTGGTTGCCAAACATACTACAGCTGATCGTTTGACACATTTACCAGAATTTACCAGCAAAAAATTCTCGGACTAAAACTGGTAACTTCTGACAGATAGAGAACCGTATTTACTCTCTTTTTTGTCCTCTCAATAATCAGAGAACCGAATACGGGATCGATTTCCAGTAAAATCTGACTGATTCTGACTGTTTCTGACTAGTCCGGACTCGTACGGGATCGCAACTAATACTGCTTAAAAAAAACAGTCATGCATAGCAATACTTAAACTTTAACTAAAAAACAACAAACAAAAAAGAAGAAACGAAAAAGTGTAAAATCACTGTACCCTCTAGTGTATTCTGAAACTTATTCTAATGCGCCGTTATGAAATTTGTACACGATTTAAATTTGTTGTATGTATAGTTCCATAAAAGAACGGCGCCGTGGCATTTTGACTCGTAACAAAACTATTTGTAATTGTAAATTTATGCTAATTTTTCTTTAATAAAAATTTTAAGTTAAACACATTTTCGCGCTTTTTCTTTATTTATTATCTACTTTTAACTTGTATACAATCTGGTTTGTACCATTTTTCCTATTCAGTTGATAATTTGTTTCTCACTTCTGTCTCGTTACTTCTGTTTTTGTGTATTTTAGATGTTTGCCAAAGGATGGCACCGCGCGACAGTCAATTTTACTTCAAAGAAAATCGATATATTTACTCGCGAAACTAGGTGCCGAATGTAGTAAAACTGCGATTTTAGTTTTTTCCTCAGACGTCAGGATTTTTTAGAGGACTTTGATATGCTTAATTGGAGAAAGATTTTTTAAAATTCCGTGCAATGTATAATGGGTATCAAATGAAAGAGATTAAAAAGGTAAAAAAATTTTGGCGCACAAGGACGAATTGTATTGAAAATGCTCTTTGAAATTTTATTCTTGAAAATGGGTTTTTTTTACAAATCTTCAATTGAAAAGTATGTCAAAAAGCTGCAACTATCTTAAGAGTCGACCTTATTTTGACTTTGAATATGCGCTATTTGCCATTAATTCACAAAGGCCCTAAACAAACATCCATTCGTCCCCATCGCTTATTCTACGCATTATAATCGCAAAGATGGGCCGACCCGTAACTCGCTCACATCTGGAGAAAAAATGTGTTGATTGTTCCACTTGCTCAACCTGACCGTATTTGTCTTCTAATTCTGCACATTTAGTTTGGTTTGAAAAAGAATTTCATTACGAAACTGCAGAAGAATGGAAACGCTTTCGCTTATTTGGAAGAATTTTTTTCCAGAACTAAGTTTTGCAAAGAACAAAGAAGGTATTTTCGTTGGCTGCCTAATCCGTAAACTAACTCAACATGATTTTGACCAGGGTACGAAAATAAACTATATTGTACGTTACTATTTCATTTCGTTTATTACTTCAACAGTTCGGTACAATACGAAAACAAAACGGCTGAGTTCGCTTTGGCGATAGTACACTACAGTAGTTTAGTAGTTACAGACGAAACAACAAACGAAATGAATCGTGCAGAGAAAAATATATGTATGTATGTACATATATGCAATAACTAAATAAAAAACGAATGGCTGCAATGAATAAAAAAAATAAAAATGTTTTTTAATTTAATTGGATATGAAAATTTACAGAAAAAATATTTTTCACGTAATTGAAACGTTTGTGATATCATCCTATGGCACAATTGTCACAAACGAAAGCCAACGTTTCTAGTTGGGGAAAATGACAGTGAATCTTACAATTTGTTTCTGACTATGTACAAAACTGTACAAAACCACAAATGATATGATGATCGATGAGCAAATGGGAATTGTTTTGTACAGTTTATTTTCGTACTCTGATTTTGACTCCATTAAGAAGCGGAACGCAATTGAGAAAAAAAAACTAATATTTCTCTGAAAAATGTAATTTTAGTGTTTCTCGGGAGTACTCGTGCGCCTAACCAAGAGGAACTTATCGAAGATATGCTTACAAATTTCAAAGAAATGGGTGTCAATATGTCTCTTAAAATGTATCTTTTGCACTTCTAATGCGATCAAAAAAAAAATGTTTAAGTATTTCATTCCAGAACGCGGAAAGTGTTAAGAGACAAAAAACTGGCTAAATTAATCTGGGATATTGATTTTTTAATGTTGATTCGTTTATGAAATCCCTTTGTTTTCAAAATAAATTGAGGCCATGAGAGCGCAAGTGGCCTAACCCAAAATTTTATATTTTTTTTTATGTGGTTCCCTATTTAATGTCTCAAGTAAGATAAATTTTAAAATGGAAGTCGCTTATTCTTTAATTTTAAGGTAAAGATTTGCATAATGTATCATCAAAATAAGGAATAGTCGATCTTTACTTTAAAAGTGCAAGAAAAAAATTTTGGGTTAGGCCACTTCTGCTCTCATGGCGTCAGTTCATAGATTCAGAATTTCGTATTTGTAGGAAAACAAGAACTGAGTTTTTTCATTTTTTAAACATTCTAACGCACTTTTACTATATTTCGTCCCTAGTTTCGTTTTTCTTTGTTTTTTAATGCACGGTGTAATTATGTACAATATAAATTGTGTAGACACTCAAATAGCAAATTATATTGATGTCAAAATTAATTGTCTTCAGATTTTTCTTAGCTTTATAACACAAAATTAGGGAGAAATATGTAACTGAACCCTTTTTAAGCAAACCAAACCTTCGGCCATTCATTTTTTTTTTCAATAAATGCAATGCACTTTTACCTTTTGCACCACATTCACATAAATCAATTATATAAATAGGCAATCATGTTTCCTTTACACCCCTTTTACGGCTAAACTGTACTTCTAAGGTATAAACAATTATATATCATTAGAAAGGTATTTTGATGCTGATGTGCAGGCAATTTTTAAAATTTCAAATTAGTTTAAAATAGAGCGAAAAAATCAATTCAAAAGTCACACCAATACCAATGCCATACATGTACATGGTTGGGGCGGAAATGCCTCCTAAATGTATGCTTTAATATTGATAGGGAATTAAAGAAACGTGCTAAGCAGCAGTTTAGGAATAAGATGTATGTATGTATGTACATGAATAGATTAGCCTCAAACAAGGATGAGATAGTTTTGAGTATGGAGAAGAAGAAAGGGATAAATACAGAAATTAAAATAAAAGTAAAGAAACCTAAATATAAAGACAAAGAGGAAGGAAAATTTAAATACCTAACCTAATAACAATGGTGGGGGTGAATATGTTAATGAAGAAAAGAATGGACATATTTAGATCAGGATAAAGGAAAGGATAAAGATGAAGAAGAAGATGAAGACCAAGACGAGGAAGAAGATGAAGATGAATATGAAGATAA